GCCCAGGCGCGGGCGGCGGCGGGCGGCGCGGAGCCGGGCGCCGCGGAGGCGGGCGAGCTCATCGGGCGGGCGCTGGATTTCAAGAGCCAAGGGGCGCAGTGCTACAAGGACAAGAAATTCAGGGAGGCCATCGGCAAGTACCACCGCGCCCTGCTCGAGCTCAAGGCGCTGCTGCTGAGCCAGGAGGCGGGCGGGCAGCGCGCGGGGGCCGCGCTCAGCGAGGAGCACAGGCAGGCGGTGGAGGCCATCGAGGTGGACTGCTACAACAGCCTGGCAGGTCAGCGGCGCCCCCCCGGCCACCTCCATCCCTCCGCGGCGCGGGCCCCTTCCCCTCCCTGCTTGTCACGCCGTGGCGTTTTGTCGCAGTTCGGGGCTTTGTTGCCATCCCCAAGGTTGGCGCTCCAGGTGTGCCAGCCTCGGCTCGCGCTGGGGCATCGCACGCTGCGAGGCCGCCGGCTGCTGCGCGGCCTCCCCATGCACTCTCTGCCCGGGAGGCGAGTGGGGTAGCATGGGGACGTGGGATCCTCGGGCTTACCCGAGGATGGCCAGGGATGGAGCTGAGAGGCTGGGAGCAGGGTGCAGCTCGAGGGTGTAGCACCCACTCCCTCAAGCTCAGAGTGTCCTTCAGTGCCTGTGCACAGCCCCAGCCACGGTGCTCCTAACTGGCGGCAGCGCACAGGGACATGCTTTCTGTCACATTCGATCCGAGGAAAGGGAAGGCTGGGGAGCCATTGTAATAGCTACAAATAGTACTAGATGCAAAAAGCTTTTTTTTTTTTTTTTTTTTTTTTTTTTTTTTTCCCTCCTAGCTGCAAAGGCAGTTATCAAATATTAGCAAATGTAGTACTGGTTTGTTGCTAGACAGTGGTCATGGCTGTGGTCAAGGGACATTTGATCACTGCTCTCATGGCTCCCTGCCATCTGTTTTGACCAAGTGCTATAGGAAGGTGCTAAGGAGGGGTGAGCATTAAACTACTTTATATCCTGACCCTGAAGTCCAAGACAAAACTCCTGTTGACTTAAGTGAGCTTTTCTGAAACAAGAACTGCAAGATTGGAGGCTACAAGAACTGCAAGATTGTTTTTGTTCCCTGCAATCACACACACTTTTTCTTTCCAAGCTGAAAGAATCTCTAGAACAAAACCTTGTCCCTAGGTGCATGCAGGATACAGGGTGCTCATAAACTGCAAGAGATGCACAAACTGACAAAATTAATAAGAGCTGTGTAGCCCAGAAGGATGAAGGGTGGCTTGTCATCCTTTACATCTTTGGGGAAAAAGATGGCAAAATTTGGGATGTTAGCGTGTCATCTGTCACTCACACTTGGCTTTTGGCTTTCTGGACAGATTTGAGCAGCAATGTTTCCTGATGTCCAGTTCACTTATATATAAGAAAAAAAGGTGATTAAAGTAAACAGGGTTTAAAATACCAGTCCAGAATCTTATTTCAATCCATGTTGATCTGTTATCTCCATGTGGTTATTGGGATGTAATAGAGAATACAGTTTAAGCCCCTTTTATGGTCTTTTCAAATATGCTTCCTTCAAAATACTGTTTAAAAGGCATAGAGAGCAAGGTGAGATTACACAATAGTACTACTACTACACAGCTCTTAATTTTGTCTCTGAAAAATTCTATCTGCAGGTTTATCAAAATCCACTGTATGAGACAAGGCTCTTTCAGACTGGCAAGCTTATACAAAGAACCCGTAATGCTGTGAACAATATAGCTTAGATTGTTCCTCAGTTTGAAAAAATACAGGTAATATCTTTTCTGGCTGTCAGTACTGAGATACAAATGAGATGTAGTATCTAGAAGGCAAATGAATTGGGAGGGAGGAATTGGGATTAGCTTTTGTAGCACCTTCTGCTGAGTACACAAATTCCCTTGCTGGAAATATTTACACTTGTGCTGACAGGATTGTCCTGCATTATGGTGGTTGTCCAGCATATGTGTTTACTGTTTCTAGTTTGTGCAGGCATTTTTTTTCCACTGCTGATTGTATTTGATCTTGTAAGCAGTAGCAGCGGGAGACAGTGAGAGAATGTGTGCTCCATCTTTAACCTACATTTGAGCAAATATTACCTAAATTTACCAGTGTGAACACCAAGCAGGTATAAGAACTCTAGAGTTGTAACTGGTGCTTTTTCTGAGATGAGATAACCTCACAGCAGGTCAAGGTGTTATTTTGGACAGACAATTGTAATATTTTTCTGTAGGAACAGAAAAAAGATCTCAAGAAGGAGAGGTTTCACATTTGTTTGTTGCAGTGTCTGAATATAAGCATTTAAAAAAAATACTGCACATTGAAGAGGGGAGTATGCAGTCAAACTGAAATTGCAGTATTGCTACTACTAGCCCCCTTCCACTGTCCCCATTCTACCAGGAAGCTCTGTGAATTAGTGTGTGAAGGAAGATTTTTCTCAGAGCTGTCATAATAGTTATTAAACCTACCCAAAAGACATTTTGTGAGGTGCGCAGTGGATCTCTCTCGGGTTGTGGTGTGTTCCAGCAGAAGCCACTGGTTTTCTTACACATTGAGCTCTAGCAGTGGGCTAGGCGCATCCTGTTTGAGTAGAAGTCAGTGTTACTCTATGTGGGGAAGAGAGGAGGTGCAAGTAGTTCTACTTCTGAGCACTGGATGTGTGCCTAGAGCTGGTTTTAAAATAAATAGCTGCACTGAGCAGAGAGCATAGCAGCAGTACATGTTCGTTCTACAGAAGGCAGTTTTTGATTTAGCTGTGAATTGTACCCAGTAGAATTAGCAACTGTCATCAGAGTGTCCTTGTTATCACATTTTGTTAGCACTTCTACGTACTCTCTAAGCTTAGCATCCAAGAAGCCCACCTTGCTTCTGAACTGCCACTTTTCAAGTGGCTACCATACTTTTGCCTTTTGGAGATGTTCTGCACCATAAATATAGATGTAAGTGCACACACATGCACACACTTGTATATTTAAAGACATTATAGCAGTCAGAGGGTATCATGTGTAGTTAATTACATTCTTAGACAAATAGGCAGGTAAGAAATGCATACCCAAAGGGAATTTGGTAATCTTATGGGTGAAGGTTGTGCACATGAACAACTGGGGTTGATTTTAAGTGCAGCAGTTACCTGAGTAAGAACATGTGGGCAAACACTAAATTGTTGCTGGTCCATTTGTTGCCTCGTAGAATGTAAATTTAGGCACAGACATGCCCATACAGTCCTGTTCAGTTCTGCTGCTTTTGTAGAGCACCTCCAACAAGGGATCTTTGTACCATGAGGCAGAGCATCCAACATGTATCGAATCAATGACTCAGAATAGTTGATGTTTCCTTAAATTTTCAGCTTTTTGCACTCTGTAGCACTCTCACAACCTTAACTATTTATCTCAATTCAAAGAATTCAAATCTGTTTATTTATTTATTGACCTAGGATTTTTCACTGCCTGCCATTGCTAGTTGTCTTCACATTTCTTTTACTAGGCTTCCAATTAGGTCTTAGTTTAAACTCCAAGACTTTGGCCATAGAAGGACTCACCTTCACATCTGCAAAATGCAGTGCTGCTGTATTACAGAGGCCTGCCAAACTCCCTTCACTTTAAGTCTTTTTGATAAATGTTACCAGTTGCAAGAGCAGTAGTGATAGCCGTAGGAAAATCCTACCAACAGCAGAGTCTGGCAGAACAGATGCAGGACTATAAGGCAAACGTAGCCGTTGCTTTATGAATCACTGTCTCTGACCTTGAAGGAGAAGGAAATCACTTGACCTCTTTTTGCCTCTCTCAGCCCAAATATAAACAGAACAGGAACCACAATCCAGTCCCAATGGTGCAATGAGTTGAGTTTCCACAAGCCAGTGGGATTTTTTAAATTATCTTTTAGGATGATTATATGAAGAATGCATGCAGAAAACCAAACTGACCAAATATCACTCTTGTCTCTTCCTCACTCATAGAGGGGGGGGAAGATATTTTAGAAGGGCATAGATCTTTTATCCAAAAGTCTTAAATGCCTTATGAACTGCATGCAGGTAGGGATCACTTACCAACTATAAATGCAACCACTGCTCATATTAAATGCAATGATTGCTTTATTCAGCATTACCACCTAACAGTTTACAGGATCAAAAGGACTATTTTTGTTCTGCAGAGACAAACAAGCCCTAGTCCTTCCAAACCACCAAAATGCTAAGGGTAAGCATAGTTTTCAGCTTTTTCTTATGAAGGAAAGTTAGTACAATGAGCAAATGTTTGTGAGCTTGCCTAAGCATGCAAAAATTCTAGAGCTAGTCATGGCTAGAGGAGCCCTAGAAAAAAGCAGAAAGAGAACCAGAGATAACAAGCTATGGATTAGGAAATGTAGCAGATACTAGAGATCTGGACTTTTTATCCTGCCTCTATGCTAACTGATTATCATCTGGTTACTTCATTTCTTAAAGTCTCAGTTTACCTATCTGCATTTAATGTCCTGCTTCAAGTGTTTTTAGCACAGTATAGGAGACCTGGTAGGAAGGCACATGTACCTGCAGAGTATTACAAAATGTAGCAGTCTAAGATACCTCTCAGCCTGGATGACGAGGTTCACCCTTCAGAAGTGTTCACTGGTGTTCACCTGGTCACATCAAGTTTGCCTGCTGTCAATTTGGCAAAAGTCAGCGTCTCAAAACACACCACTTCGAGTAGTATAGGAACCTCCAGCACTCACCCTCAGATTCCAAATCAGGGTGTAGCTACCGCTCCCAGCAGTCAGCAGTCATGCAGACTTTGGTGACTGGTTCCACCGAGTTCACCCAAGCAAGAACATGACTGAACATGAGAAAAGCTGATCCCCACTGACCATCCACCAAGAGTCCTCAGAGGGCGTTCTTCTAAAATTCCACTTACAGGATATAGCCATTTACAAGTACAGACTCTACAAGGGCGCGTGGTTCTGTGGGTGTTAGAACAGTACTGGATTGCTGCTTGCTGTGAAGCTTTTTAATCTCCTACATCAACAAAAAACACTCTAAGAGTGTCATGAAATGTGAAAAGGAGACAGTCAGCAGCAAGAGCAGGATGTGGTCCACACTCTCGCTGGTAGAGATGAGAGTTTTCTTATACTCTTATTTTAGATCATCTACCCAGCCAGAGTACTTGAGAATATCTGACCTACAGGCCCAATGCAGACACTACTCTAGGTAGGTGCAATTTGCAGGCACAGAAAAACACACATGTGACTATGCATAGTATTTTAATGAGCCCTCAAATCTGCCACATGATTAAAGTGGGATTAGAAGTCATTGCTATGAATTGC